GCATTGTTGGGGACCGTGATGGTGATGCCGTCCTTGCCCTGCTCCACGGTCCGTCCGCAGTAATCGAACTTGTCGCCGAATTCCAAGGCGCCGAACTTGAACTCCTTGATGATCTCGTCCATGACCTTGTCCATGGCCTCAGAGCCACTCCATAGCAAGTCATCCACATGAGCGATGACGATCCCTTGGAGTCCGTGGTGCTTGTCCTGCAGTACGTAGGCGGCGTGCTCTCCCGGTATGGCGCGTAGCCCCTTTGACAGAGCAACTCGGTGTAGACGTTTCCAAAAGCCTCTCGGAGCGTCTTTGGTTCCGTATACGGGCTTCCTAGCCCGTAGAAGTGCTCCTTCGGGTACTCCGGGAAGTCCTCCAGGCGGTGGTCGTAGAATCAAGGTCCTGGTGATGACATCTCCTTGCAAGAAGGAGGCCGTTATGTCGCCTCCTCGTAGTCGCCATCGCTTGTTGGCCGTGATGCTCAAGAGGAGGTTGAACATCATAGAAGACGCTGTAGGGCTGTCAGTGCGGGCACCTTCTGCTCCAGTCTCGAGGTCTCCTCTGACAACTATTCTCGACTTGTACCGGGGGTCTTCCCAAGGTTGCGCCTTGTTGTTGTCAACCCATCTCGTTGGGGTGATCTCCGCGTCCTTGTGCTCCTTGAGGTAGGCCGGTACGTCCTCCGGGAGGATAATGTCGACAGCCTCGAAGCCCTGCCAGTTTCCCCACTCCTTGAGTCTGGCATTGTCTATCCCCTGCTTCACGGCATCCGTCTCCTTGTGGTAGTGGAGTTCCTTGGACCTGGCGGCAGCGCTCTTCTTGTTAACTCTTCGGGCTAGGAAACCATGGAACCCTCGGTCGAGTTCCGGCGCTGGCCCTTTAGCAAGTAGCCCTCTTGGTGATCGCGATCTTCTGCGGGGAACTCCATCCAGTGCATCCACAGAGCGATGGATAGCATGTTGTAGTTCTGACATCCTCGCAGCAGAACCAGTTGTAGGCATAGTTGTGGACGCTGTTGTCATACTAGGCCTTCTACTAGATGGCATCAACTCCTGTTCGGGCTCCAGATTCGAAGATGTCCTAGACACGTTTTGCCTTTCGGCGGGGACCTCACCAGCTGTCGTCCTAGGTACATTGGCTATTGCCAAGGGAAGTCCAGGTGGTGGTAGATGAGGTTCGTGAGTCTCCTGTTCGGCTGAGCCGTGGGCTCTCATGTCGAAGAACCCGGGCTGCTCGTTTCCGGGTGGTCCTCCAACTCCAACCAGGTCATCCACGAACGGCACCTCGTTGTCGTGGTCGTTGACGTCGGCGTTGTCCTCCACGTCTTCTCTTCGTCTCTTCCGGGACGGCCGAAGTTCCAGAACTCGCTTCGCCAGCATCTCGTTCCCGGTGGCATGCCGACATTGTTCCACAGACACGGTAAGTGGAACTCCTCCATGGACGATCCACAGAGTCCCCTTGCCTTCTTGCCCGATGACGCGAGCAGGTCCATACCATTTCCACTGTCGGTGCGCTCCTTGGTTCTTGTAGTAGCAGACCAGGTCTCCCATCACGAAAGGGCCGCGGCTCGGGACGCTTTTCCGTAGTAGTGAGGAACGTATTCGCTGTGAGGAGTCAACTTGGGCAAAGGACTCACGCGCTGCTCCCCTGACCAGCATCTGCTGTGCAAAAGAGCTCTCTCCATCGAGGATCTCCTGGTGGGTGCCGAGCCGCGCCTGGGTGTCCAGGTTGGTGAGGGCGTCTATTTCAGGAGGGTTACGTCCAAGTACCCATTGAGCTGGCGAGAAGCCGTTGTGGTTGATCCGGTGGTTCTTGATGCTCACGGACTCGGTAACCACGAACTCCATGTTTTGACGTCCTCGTAGTTGGCGGGCATGTACTGTTGACTTGATGACCTCCTTGAGGATTCCTCCTTGTCGTTCACCACGTCCCAGCTGGTAGGCACTCTCAACACCAATGTAGCGCAGTAGAATGCCATGGGCTGTCACCAATTGTTGTAGTTTGCCTCGATTCTCAAGTCCTCGGTCCAAGACAATGCTCTCGGGAATGCCGGCCCAGTTCAACCAGCAGGTACTCAAGGCGTGTGCCATGTCCCCAGAGCTTGGTGGTCCAGAGCCTTCTCCCACAATGGCTGCCACGTGGAAAAGTGTTCCCAAGTCCACGATGGACATCACCTTGTATCGTCGCCCAATCGTGTCCTTGATGATGAAGACGTCAAGGGAGATGGCCTTGTTGAACTTGTACTCCTCGGGCATCTTTACTGCGGCTGGACGCTGCGGCTTTCTTTTCTCCTCACACACCTGACACCGGAAGTTGTCCAGACCTCGTGTGGCGTCTGGGTCTGCACCGGCTGTTCGTAGTAGTCGTTGCATTGCTGCCGGTGGTGAGTGCCCGGTCATGTGGTGGAGTCGTCGTAGCGC